TTGTTTTTGTGGTGTGACAGATTAAATAGTTCAATATTCAATTTAATTTGATCAGAATGAAATGATTACTAATTTACTTATTTACGCCTGTTAACTCTCGTGGAGGAGCATAAACTGTCCACTAGCATTCTCTATCCAACTCTGTCCTGGGCAATCCTTTCCAGTTCTTTCCATTTAACATTCATCCTTTTCATATCCGCTTCTATTTTCCGGCGTAATAATCATTTATATTTGAGAATGAATCTTACGACTATTGATGTAGTGTTGTACTTCACTAATCGTTCGCCTCAATAACCGTTATAGCGATGAATAAAATCAGAAAGCAAAGAGAAGCGGCAACTACAGTTTTATTGACAAATGACGCAGGCTAGAAAGTTATAAGCACATGAGTAAATATCAGCGATCAAAGCAAAAATGACACGCATTAGAGATGGCGGGTAAGCCAATTCACTTTTATCAAGCGTTAATCAATATTTATAGTCAGACAAGAATAAGTTACAGACATGTGATGAATAAGATAAAAAGTATACACACACCTTCGCTCATATAAAAAATAGTCGGGATTAATAAGTGAATAATTAACAAGATGAAAACAAGACCATGATGGACAGATCAATTGACTTGTCCAGAAGTATATGAGCTTAACACATCAACCGTTACTACACTTATTATATATGATGCTACTTATATATTATACTATTTAAAATAGTCTGGTTGTGGTGTGTGTGTGTGTTAATGATGTCGACAGATATAATTAACATGTATCAGTAATCGAAAGTGAAATGTCTGATGGCAGAAGGTTGAGAAGATCGAAGGAAAGTGAGTGAGAACAGAGAATGATTAGTGTGAAAAAGAAAGAACAATGAAGTTTGAGACAATTGGTTGACTAGATTCACTTAGTATTATTTTGTAAATCTTCCCATTGATGTTTAGGAATGCAATTGATCAGTCTCTGATTGACATATGTGCATTCTGTGCGTATTGCCTCGATATAGCCCTAATTCGCAATCATTATAAGCGAAGATGGATAGTGGCTAGCGGTGGGACTCGTCAGCTGGATGTACCTGCATCTCAGAATTGATGTTCATTCTGGGACTCGAACCCAGTACCGTTCGCTTCAAACGCAATCACATTATCCACTCAGCTACTGAGTCCTGATAGCCACTAGCTTGTGCAACGGGGTGAAGTTTAAATTCACTTAGTATTGTTTGTTTGAATCTTCCCATTGACTGTTTGCAAATAAAGTATTTACTGTATGGTTCTCATATATGACCAAGACATTCCATAAATTTGTGTTGAAATACATTTGGTTGTCCTCACTTGTGTTCTCGTTCACTACATGATTATTATACCAATAATTATTGTATGTTTGTTGATGATGAATTATGAGAGGTAACTACTAGAGCACTAGAGAAAAGGAGTTACTAGATAAATTAAACTATGTAATCCACGAAACAAATATCCTCAATGTCAGTGACTGGTGAGACCTCTTTTTCATGAATTGACTGAAATTACAAATATGTATCACTGGATGTTGACTGAATGGTCTGAATGGTATGTGGTTACTGTGAGACCTAGGTTTCTTGGATTTACTGTGTAGGTGGCGTTATGATAGAAGGTTCTGAGTTCAATCCTTGGTATTGAGGTTGTGGATCTACACTTCTGAGGAGTACATATGGAATACTGATAAACAGATGAATATTTGATTGTGTTATGTTAGACAGACTAGTTGATCACGGTAAATCCAAACATGATAACCGATTAAAATAAGTGAAAATAAGTGAGTTTTTTCATTAATCATAATAAAATAAAAAAATTACTTTTTCCCTACAGGATTTTGTGTAAATTGTAGAATCCCCATGATTTAAGTTGTCAACTGATCTTAGCTAGATCACCATTAAAAAGCATGAGGTAATGGACAACTGCATCATCCTAGTACAGGAATTCTCATTAGTGTCAACTCACGATTCCATAACAGAGAATGGACTTCAGGACCTATCAGTCTCGCGCCAGAGCACTTAACCGATAGACCACTGAGCTGGCCGGCATCCAACGGTGTTAATGTCTAACTTCAGCCAATCCACGATGTTTGAGCAACCGTTCACCAATTGTCTTCAATGAGTTGTTTTCTCACAATAGACGCGAGTGCGGGATCGTGGATGCGCACTGCTGAGGAGTCCCATAATGGGAAGAAATGGCCGTCCAGTGCTTCCAGGTTTTCCATGATTGTCTAGCTTTAATCGACTCATGATTTCAACTATGAAAAACAGTTCAGTTAATTGTACTATGTCTCGTCTATATATATTGTTCAAGTTTGTTCTTATATTATCGACCTTTGGTTATCAGTATTTCTTTGTAAGAGCCAAAAATGTTTTTAAGAAAATTTTTGTTCTATTGACGTCAATTATTATGTTAAGCTTTTACTATATGTAGTGATATCACCATAATATTTTTTTGTAAAATAAGGATAGCGGTTATTAATGTATCGTATCAAATTTTTTCTGGTTAGCGTTTTTTAGCGAGTTTGCTGTCAGTATCAGGAAAAGTTTTCAACAAAGTGTTGCTCAACCGGATGAAAGACTCAGTAGACGCTTGACTTCGAGATCAACAGGCTGGATTCCGTAAGGATCGGTCGTGAACAGACCTAATTAAGACACTACGGATCAACGTGGAACGATCAGTTGATTTGAATTCGTCACTATACATCCACCTTTTTGAATTTTCTTTAAAAAATGAAATCGTACATTCACTTACAAACGTAAAAGGAAATTATTTAAGTCTTTAATTTATAAATGTCAAAGAAAACACTTTTAGATGTATTCAGAAAAGCATGTTGTGATTTTTTACGATGTCCAATTTTCTGATCTCAAGCCTATTCAGAAAGACAGGGAAGTTTGACTCAAAGTTACACTTCACTATAAGTATACATAAAAAAATGGTACAATGAATTGAGGAGATTAATTAACTTAGTAATCAAATTCTGAATGAAAAAATACATATGAATCAAGCCATAACTGTTTAAAGCTGAAAGGGTCATACATTCCGAGGTTGTGTGGTCTAGACTGTTATATCTTGTAGCCGAGTGGATATCTAGTTAATGTATGAAGTGATAAGACAGCCAGTCCAATAGCAGCGAATTATCGATTGGAACAGTGACACACGGAAACCGTACGAGCAGTCTAGAGTACGTATCGGCCCTGCTTTCTGCCTAGCCCAGCCAGTTAAATCCAGAAAACCAATGACAGCCTCTGCGGTATGAATAATTATATTTCAAACATACTGAGTTTATATACCAAACAGACTGACCACACCGTAACAATAAAATAGAAAATAACATTTGTACAAGAGTTAGCCAAATGTGGCTGTGAATAGGGGGAGCAGTAATTAATAAACTGGGCATAACTCAAGAATGGTAAATCGTACAATAATAGTCCAAAGATCAAAATATAGCTCACAATGAAAGGAACATGAATATGTATAGTTTAATTATTTAGCAAATACGATAAAAATTATAAGCATAATATTGGTTCATAAATGGATCCCAAAGTTACCATTCACTATTGTTATCGGGGCATAACATACACAAAACTCATAAAACGGGTAATATTCTGCGATTCATCATACTAATAAATAATTCACCATATCATGAGCTCAGTCGTTGGTATTACACTAGAAGAGGCTACGGTATAAAGTCACATTGACAGGATTAACTTTTCGGAGAATATCCTTCCATAAAATTCGTCATTACTGATTTGCAAAGTTTACCAAACGAAATAATTGGATGATATCATTTGCTAAAAGTAATGTACCATAATGAATTAATTTGTTTGAATCTATAATACTATTACTTCAAGATTCGTAAAAATGAAAGTATAAGTCAATTACAGAAGTCAGGAATCATTTAACAAATCAATTAAAATGTCAGATCATTCAGTCGTAATCAATATATAGCATGGAACAGATCCATATTAGCTCAACTTGTCACACCATGTATCCATCACGAGATGAAACTAAGAAGATGAATAAGTAAAGAAGACGGTATAAATATAGTGTCAGTAATATAAAGAAAGACTAAGCACTAAGAATATGATTCAAGAAGACCGGATGAGAAAATATGCATGTAAAAGTAATGGAATTAAAGACATGAAAGAAAATAAAGTGCGAATTCACCTACCACTGACTGATTACGAGCAATGTTACTCGCTATCTCCAACCACTTATCGTGGCTACTTAGTGAACCTAAGCCATGTAGTCTGGACCTACCGACATGGCTTGGATTAAAAAACAGTGAATTCATGAACGAATACCACGACCAACTAAAATGTGACCACTGATGACTAGCTTCAAGTACTTCTATTGAGAAATGGTAATTGATGGTATTTACATATGTAAAGTAATTAACTACCAATTCAATTAAGTATTCATGGAATTGAGTCGTGAATTGAGTGAAATTAAGATTATCAACTAATAGATTACAACTCCTTGGTGGTTTAAAGGTTAAGAAGCGGGTTCTCAGTGATAGAGGGGTTTGATATTCGGCTGTTAAATAGCAGGTTTGAACACCGAACTACTTACTTTGATTTGAGAAACCGGATGGTGACATTATGTGAATTTATATCAGGTAAACGACTTGATAAACGTGTTGAAAAATTCTTCCGAACGGTGAACTTCTCGTGAGGAAACCTTGAAAGCTTTATGTTTGACTGCTGTTTGAATTATGGGTTCCTACTGTTGCATAGTTTCAAACTACATTAAAACGGTTGTGCAATACTTTGAGACCTTCAACTGTTATCCAATAGATGTCAGTCAATGAAAAATAAGTTAAAATATAAAACGAATAATAATTTCGTTTCTGTGCTCAGAAAGTTCATATTTTTAGTCTTTCACACAATGTTAATCATAAATTACCATTATACAACTTACAATGAAAATGTCTTAATGCCTATAAGTAACATAATGAGGAAAATCTTATATTCGTTTACTACGAGCTTGCCAGTGAAATGGTTATTGGATTAAGATTGAAGAAAAAACTAGAACTTGATATTTCATCATCATCATCATCATCATCATCATCATCATCATCATCATCATCATCATCATCATCATCATCATCATCATCATCATCATCATCATCATCATCATCATCATCATCATCATCATCATCATCATCATCATCATCATCATCATCATCATCATCATCATCATCATCATCATCATCATCATCATCATCATCATCATCATCATCATCATCATCATCATCATCATCATCATCATCATCATCATCATCATCATCATCATCATCATCATCATCATCATCATCATCATCATCATCATCATCATCATCATCATCATCATCATCATCATCATCATCATCATCATCATCATCATCATCATCATCATCATCATCATCATCATCATCATCATCATCATCATCATCATCATCATCATCATCATCATCATCATCATCATCATCATCATCATCATCATCATCATCATCATCATCATCATCATCATCATCATCATCATCATCATCATCATCATCATCATCATCATCATCATCATCATCATCATCATCATCATCATCATCATCATCATCATCATATTTTCTGATAAGATCTGAAGCATAATTTCACTTTCAACTACTACGCATTTCACTGAACTGATTCATTCAGTCTGAAGTCAGAAAATCTACGTGTGAAATTTTATGTTGGACTGAAACTGATATTAGATATATATTTGTTGGAATTTACTACTTCATATTAATGAAATTATGAATACCTTCAATATATGATGTTTCATATTCATCATATCGTAAGTTTTATTGTTTAGTTTTCGTGTTATGTGGTTCTCATCAGCAATGACCATTTGTAGTGTTGAGCAAACTGGTGCCTACTAATGAATCCGATTGTTAGTCATCCAGCTTCACTTCTCGATATAATTAAGATTATTTATTTGACCTCACTACATAAGTATGAGAAGCATGATTGTTTGGATATTAGATAAATATTTGTTGGAATTTACTACTTCATATTAATGAGATCATAAATACTTTCAATATATGATGTTTCATATTCATCATATCGGAAGTTTTATCGTTTCATTTCTAATTTTATCACTTTCACTTACTATTTCATGATGACACCCACTCATAGAATGACCAGTCCCCTATGCTTGACTCATTGATTTAAACAAATTGTGTTTTGATGGGTGTAAATACAAACAGTAATGATTAGTTGGTGAGTGATAGAGAAGAGGAAAATTGTGGATTTAGTTTTTGTGTCATTTGCTTCTCATCAGCAATGGTCATCTGTAGTGTTGAGTAAACTGGTGCCTACTCATGAATCCCATTGTTTGTCATCCAACCTCACTACTCGATATAATCAAAATCATTTATTTGACCTCACTACATAGGTATAAGAAACACGGTTGTCTGGATATGTCCTACTTCTTAGACTAATTTCAACCAGACAAGCATGAAAACCAAAGAGTACTGGATAACTGTTTTGTTTTGGCATTGAACTCTTCAGAAGTGTGAACGCATAACCTTACCAAAGATTGTTTATAGAAACTTCAGAATTTTAAGCAAAAATATAATTTTTATCTATATAACTCTTATTTACATTTTGTGATTACTTAATTTATAAATCTTATGTTTGTGTAACTACTACTATTAGTATCCGCGGGCCTACTGCTTATATTTTATAATGGAAGACGACAATAATTCCCATGACACAAAATAAAAAACACCGGAAACTGGTGAAAATAAAGATCTGTTGACTTTTCAAAACCCTTCTCTAAAACGTCATCAAAACAAGCCATCCTTTAACCAATACGTACCAGTGTATATACTGATTTTCATAAATACTTAATAAGACTACATATACGTGAAAAGAAATACATAGTTACTGCAAAACCAAACTGAATATTGTTCACCAGAATTGGTGTTTACCCAACGGATCCTTCATGTAAAATAGAAGCTCAAGTATAAATATTTTGGCTGACTTGATTATTACTTAATAAACATAATCCTATGTGTTGTTAGGTAGTTGGTAGTAAATCCTGAAACTAAACTTCATGCTAATCTAATCTACATGCTTGTATCACAGATCTCTTCTTAAAGAATTTGATACTGAGCTATTCAATCAGCCACGGACCACCTATCGGACTATTTTATTTTCATTTATTTAAACACATAAATATTGGTAGAATGAAGCACCAGATAAATATGCGCCTCACAAATCTCATTCGATTTATGTGAGGGCTGTGATACTGCCCTGGTGCCCAGACTGAAGCAGGTGGTTTTCTCAGGCGGCCACACCCGGAGCCTTTGACCTGAATGTATGATCCACAAGGCAGTGGAGCACCGTGAGGAGATGCAGTCCCATGGTAGCCGTCGACCAGTTACAGGTTCGTCCGCCATTCGTTCCATCAGGATACTGGAGCCCATGTGCACCACTGGTTTGGAATCAGGGTTTTCCAACTCCCCTAGGTGGACCCTCCGTGTCCACCAACCCGGTTAAAGCGCCGGACATTCGCTTTTCGTCCTCTCACTTTCGTAAACAACACCCCCGCCACGAGAAGGCAGTGAGTAGGACTTCCCTGGCTATCGGACTAAGTTATTTACAATTAATTGATCAATGAATAACGACGAATGTAATGCTTACGTGGTTCTTATTCTTCATTGAGTTCTATCAGTCAAGTTAAATTGTGAGCATTAGTTAAAATGACTCAACATCTCATGCAGCATGTCATCGTCCTGCTATTAAATGCTAACATGAAATTTAGGTCTAGGTTATTTTTTCGACTGCCTCTAACCACCTAATATCAGGACGTAAGTACGTACAATATCGAGTCATTTCAAAGTGGTTAGGTTTCAACTCTATTAGTGGAATTCTATCAGCACTAAGAGTCAGACAAATAATGACAGAAGGCAATAAGAAGTGACGACTACAGTGTGTTAGCGGATAGCACAGGTCATAAGGCTACAAGCACATCAAGTGAACTTGAATTAGAGAGGCCAATATGTATATGCGAGCAAATGCATAAGTGAATTTATAGTCAAATCGAACAAGGCACAGCAAGGCAAAGCAAAGGCTAATGATAGGATTTGAGTACAATATACATGGGGAAGAGGATGAATCATCGGGTGATATTTAAAAGACCAACACTTTAGCTAGAGTCTGTCATGTTATCTAGTGATGGTACAGTAACAATAAATAGACGAATTGTAACTGTTCTAACAACATTATCTTTTAAGTTAGGTAATAAAAGGTCTTAGCCATAATTAACCATCATCGAAATTGATTGCTGGATACTAAGCAGAGATTGATAATGGCTAGCAGCGGAATCCAAGACGCGCGTTTCGTCCTATTTGGGATTCGTCAGCTAGATTTACCTGCATCTCAGAGTTGATGTTCACTCTGAGACTCGAACCCAGTACCGTTCGCTTCAAACGCTATCGTATTATCCACTCGGCCACTGAGTCCATCTCTGGTTACCATGCTTGTGAATTAAGGCTATATCGAGGCAATACGCACAGTATGCACATATGCCAATTAAAGACTGACCAGCTGCAGTCCTAACACGTCGATGGGAAGATTCAAACAAACAATACTGAATGATTGTAGGATAGTTGCTATGCTACTGTAATTTTAGATCTTTAAATTATAAATTAGTAAATTTGCATATCAGAAGGAAATTTATTCTATTGATTGATCTATATCAGTCACCTTATCTAATATATATATATATATATATATATATATATATATATATATATATATATATATATATATGTAATGTATTTTGTAATAAGGTTAAAACTTAAAAAGTAAATATACATATACAAGTCAAAATAAACAAGAACTTACTAACTTACTTACACCTGTTACCCCTCGTTGAGGAGCATAGGCCACTCACCAGTATTCTGCATTCAACGTTGTTCTGGGCAATCCTTTCCTGTTCTTTCCAGTTAACATTCATCCTTTTCATATCTGCTTCAATCTCTCGGCGTAATGTGTTCTTTGGCATTCCTCTTTCCCGCTAAAATAAACAATAAGCAAACATATTAATTTATTTAAATACAGTAAAAATGAATAGCTATAAACAGTATGTTATTATTTAGTGTAAAAATCAAGATTCTTTGGAAGTCACAAGGTCAATATCCCTTCTGATAACCAAAGCAACAACTAACATCAGTAGATGGAATATTTTCATAATATAGAAGACCATAAGGACCATTCAGTTGGCTGTGAGAATGGTAAGATAAAATCAGGTGGTGCTTAGAATAAGTTAAACTCATTGGACACAAGTTAGCCAGAAAAGATTATCTTCAAGAGGGAAGATATTATACCCTCGTTATGAAGGATGGGAAAAATACGTCTTTTTTCAACCAGGCTAAAGTATTTCATTATAAATATCTTTACCAGGGCAAAATTATGTTTCCCACAGTCTATCTGTAACATAAGTCAAGTTGGGAAAACTTGATTACAATGACCAATGTGAAATAAACTTTGATATTTTCTAAATTATTTTAAACACTTTTGAAATGTCATTTCATATCCACTATCAATCAAGTACTTGATTATGACAATCGTGAAAATTTTGTTTCATTCCAGTTGATATACTGTATGTTTTCTACGGGATGAGGTCGCTAACCTCATGCCCAACCCTCTTCCTTTATCCGGACTTGGGACCGGCAGTAGCCCCCGGAGGAGCTAGAGGCGGAGTTAAATGCTTCATGGTAGTCATTTTCAAGTACTCATCTTCAGGAATGAAAGCTTTTTGTCAGTTCAACTGTTAGACCCATTTTATTTATAGATCATATATCAGATGAGTTAATTTCAATGAAGTCATCTCTCATTTATCCAAGCGGTACACTAAGAAGAAAATATACCAAGAGCTATAGTTTTTGCATTTAAGTTGTTAGTATTGAAATCGATTTTAAGCTGTTTATAAAAAGGAGTAATTGAACACATAAGCATAAGTAGCCTAAATATTTGATCAGGCAGCCAAATAACATAATTAATAAATTGCCAAGGCTAATTAATTCAATATAGATATGCCAGTCCGATAGTTCCTGTGAAGGTACATACGTAGGTTGTTCATCAACAATACTTCTACGTCACATCTCAATACATTGTCCAGCATCACTAAACAAAAAAAAACTTTGTCATTTACGTCTTTTAACATGTAATATGCATTACTTACTTACTTACTTACGCCTGTTACCCCTTGTGGAGGAGCATAGGCCACTCACCAGCATTCTCCATCCAACTCTGTCCTGAGCCTTCCTATGTAATATGCATTAGGATCAGAATATTCAGTTTTATAACCATCTTTTAATATTATTTACAAGATCTCAAGGCTAAAGGAAAAGAGGATGACCAAAGAACACATTGTGCCGAGAAATGGAGACAGATATGAAAAGAATGAACAAAAGTTGGATAGAACTAGGAAGGGAGGCCCAGGACAGAGTGGGCTGGAGAATGCTGGTCGACGGCCTATGCTCGATTGGGAGTGACAGGTGTAAGTAAGTAAGTAAGTAAATGAGTGTGGTAAATAGAATGGACAGAATGTTTAATATTACAATACTTAATTCTAAAATCTTGTCCCTATCCACCCTAAA